ATCAGGCTGGACTTTCGCGGCTCGAAAACTTCTGAACATCATTAACTCTTTGGAGAGAAAAGTAGACCGTGCAGTGTTCTCTCCTAAATTATTCTACAAGTTAATATCTCTCGTCCTTGGGGAGGAAAACGTCTAGCCTAAACCAAAGGACGAGTCCCCACATAACGATCGTCTTTTCTGCCATTTTGTCCCACCCTTCTACGTTTACTCGCTCTCGTCCATTCCGCCTCTTCGCTCCGGGACGCGTAACGCGCGCATGCGCGGACACTCCTTATTTTCCAGGATCCGATAGAGCCCTTCGATTTTCCTTAATTCTTCAAAAATTCATCATCGAGGTATCGAAGCGCTTCTGGGGTCGTTTGCACGTCTTCCCCTTGCTTCTCGTCCCTGACGGTATACAAACCGCACGCGAGATTCCTTTCAGACATGGCTCGGGGAAGTAGCAAGGATCAATCAGGTATCGATGAATGTCCCGAGGCTATCGGGAACGGCACGCCTTAAATGTTCGTCGACCTTTATTTGGCGAAGCGCCCCGTTAAACCGAGCCAGAAAAGAAAATAAAACGGGGAATTGGGACTGCGCAAGGAAAACGGGTTGCATTCGTGAACGCACCGAACGGGAGCCAGCGTATCCATAGAAATTCCTGAAAATATGGAAATTTCCGTTGTAAGAACGTGATAATACAAAAAGAGCTCTAAAGCCGCGTTTGGAATAAAAATGAGACCCCTTAAGGTGACATGAAAGTGCGATATATACATGCCAAAAAGTCAAAATGTTTATGAAACTTTTCTCTGGGTCCACCAAATTATCTAAAACTTTAACACGTGATTAGGGAGGCTGTAAGGAAAAACGCGCTGCCCGTAAGATTTCATTTTTCGGGCATTTCGAAAAAAAAAAATAATACCTTTTTTGGTTCTCGTCCGAGATGAGTAGCAAATTTTTTTCGAAAAAAGAAACTTCATTAGCAGCGCGTTATTCCTTAGGGCCTCCATAATCGCGTGTTAAAGTTGCAGATAATTCGGTGTGCCCAGTTTGGAGAAAAATTTTATATATATTTTCACTATTTGTTATGTATATATCACACTTTCATATCACTTTAAGGCGATATGAAAGTGGCGTCCAATGGGTCTCGTTTACGAAACTTTTCTCCGGACACCGTATCGTTTAAAATTTCACCACGTGATCATGAAAGTCCTGAAAAAAGTCTCCATACCCATGAAATTTAATTCCTTTCAATTTGTTTATCCACATTTATTTCTTATAAACATGTGCAATTTCGAGGGCGTCAAGACATTCCTATTCGCGTGAACAAATTCACGTAATAAAATCCCAAACAATTCGGTTTGGGGAAGCGTCACAATTTATTGATATATCAGATGCCACTTTCGTGTCACCTTAATTCATCCTGTTTTTATTCTACTGGCTCGATGTTCTTCATAAACAATGCGGTGATAAGAATGATCAAAATCATTCGATAAGAACGACAAAGTGCGACAACCTTTAATGTCTGCCGTGTAGGGGTGATCGATAAAGCCGCTCCCTGTTTCTGAGCCAAAGACGGCGCGAAGCAAACGAACTTAAAACCCTGTAATGAGGTTTCGATTGGAGTACCATGACCCCGATATCGTCCAGGGCTGGGCAGGATCTAATTCGATTAAACGCATGACCCCCGGGTCGCATATGCCCCCCTTAACGAGCTTTTTATTCACCCCAGAATTGAGACAAACGATGCGCCATGTGTACCATCATGCCGCAAGATCGTTTCTAATTGGCGAACAAACATTTCTCGAAATGGCTCAAATTAAAATGAGGCTTTAGAAAATTATCTCGCACGTCGCATTTCCTGAGACTCCAATCTCGTGAGAATTGAAATAACTCGATGACGCACCAAAAAAAAATGATCATGAAAATTTTTCTGATCTTTGTGGTAGAATCGTTTTTTCTTTCGCCTTTCATGCGAATGCCGAATTTCTTTGCGATTTCGTGTTTGCTTGTAAGCACGATAATAGATTTTGGAGGCGCTCTGATTACTCTTATCAACGGATATGCGGTATTGCGATATACAATAGTCTGCATTGTCATATACTTAGTACATTTTCGTGAAAAAAAAATGGAGAGTCGATTATTTCTTATGGTCTCTCTAGTTACTCCAGCCTCCAGGGTGGAATATTTTTTTCATTCTCTTTTAATCCGAAGCATTATTTACGCTCTCGTGCTTACATCTACATATATGGACGAGAGTACTTGATAGAGGGGTCCTGAGTACTCTTCACGACGGATATGCGTATTATACTACACGAACGTCATTATCGTCGTACAATTACTAATCAATTAATATGTTTCTCAAAAAAAAAAGAGAGAGTCGATTTTTTGGTCTCCCCAGTCCTTCTGGTCTTCGAGATGAAATATTTCTTTTCTTTCTATTTTAAAATGGAAATCGGATTTATTTACGCTCTTGTGCTTGTATGTAAACACGATAGTAAGTACTAATGGAGCCTTCGAGTACTCTATACAACGCGAGATGAGGTATTGTGATACGAACGTCGTTACGGTCATAAAATGACTGGTCAATTAATAAGGTTTTGATTTAAAAAAAAAAATGGAGAGTGGATTTGTTGATCCCTCTAGTTCTCTCGACCTCCAGGGTGGAAAAATCTTTTCTTCTTCTTTTAAAGCGGAAACTGCCTTTATTTGCTCTCGTCATGCATGTAAGCACGATAACATGTACTGAAAGGGTATCGAGTACATTTATCAGCGGATATACACTATTACAATTTTATTATTACATTCTTTTTTCTTTCTCGTTTAAAGCGAAAACCGGATTTATTTACGTTGTCGTTCTAGCACGTGAGCACGATAGCACATACTAAAAAGGTCTTAAGTACTCTTATCATGAAATATACAGTGTCGCGATACGAACGTCAGTGGGATTATAAAATGACTAATCAATTAGTATATTTTTCCTTAAAAAATCGCCAGTTGAAGTAATCTAGTCTCCCTACTCCCTACAGCCACCAGGGTGGAATATCTTTTTTCTTTCTCGTTTAAAGCGAAAACCGGATTTATTTACGCCGTCGCGCTTGCATGTGAGCACGATAGTACATACTAGAGGGGTTCTGAGTACTCTTAGCAGCGGAGATGCGGCACTACGATACGAAGGTCGGTACCGTTATGCGATTACTATGCTGAGTCCCTCTAGGGAATGTGGGTGGACCCCGTGCCCCTCCCCATCCTCTCGCTCTCTCTCTCTCTTCCGCTCCCAGCGAGCCCCCTCGTTGCGTCTTTCTCTCGCTCCCTCTCACTCTCCCCTTCGTTAAGACCCCGGGCGTCTCTCTCCCTCCTCGACTACAGCTGATTCCCCCAACCGAGCACTCGAGGGAAGATGCACGCCTCGCAGGAAGAGGTAGCGTACACCTCGTTTAAATCGAGAAAATATACGGAAGAAAGTGAAAAACCGAGGGAAAAAAAGGGAAACATGGCCGCGGACTCGGGGCCCGATATAACTAGGGAGTTCCTAGGCTCTCTCCAGACCGACATAGGGACCCGATCTTACTTCCGTGAGACTCGCGTTGCGCTGAAAAGCACACGCGAGGTACTGAGGGGAAAAAAAAAAACCCGCGCAAACGACTTATGCAACCGAATGGATAGAAACGACATTTTCTCCTCCCCTCCTCGAGCTCGGCGATTCATCGCGTAAAAGGAGAGGCATCCTAATTAAAATAAATAATAAAAATTAACGCTCAAAGTACCGATACACTTAATGGTAAATATAAACCCTTTTAGTTGCCCTTTAGTCTTTCCGGCGCCAAAGAAATAATATTCTTTGTTTGTTATACAGACTCACGTTGCACTAGACGGACACGGATGTACTGAGAAGAAATCTGCATCAACGTATTCAAAAACTGAGCGGATTAAAACGTCCCCTCTTCTCGACCTCGTCAATTTATCACGTCGTGAGAGAGAGAGAGAGGAACATCCTAATTCGAAAATTAACACTCAAGATATCGACACCCTTGACGGTAAAAATAAACCCGTTTATTTCTCCTTAATTCCTTCTAGTACTAAAATAATTGTTTTCCATTGTTATTGCAAATTTCCGCATAATTATTAGTCATCAATCAAGCAGGTACTTAGGACTTAATTTCGAATCAATTTCGCAGTCCATTGTGCGGTTATTTTACAGGTGGAAGAGATTCTCGAGTCAGAAAGCGAAAGGAAAAGCGATCACGGCGAGACCCCCCGGGAATTCGGACGGCGAAAAATAATTAACGAGGCCCGCGTTGCGCGACAAGTGCAGCCCCGCCGTTAATTGATCGTTAGAGGACGCCATGCTAATTGCTGCCAGCCCGTTACGTCGCGCAACGAGGTTCTCACGTAGCTGACGCTTTTCCGGTCGCCGGGACGTGACTACGGGGATCCATCAATGATCTACGGATCCACCGCAGAGCTAAACAACTCGAGACGAGACAGGAAATGCGTGAAACGTAACTGGAATCGACAAAAAGGGAGGCGAAAAGACAAAAGCTCCATTATGAAAAGTCACCATAAATTTAAGAAATTTTATATTTCCGTAAATAAGGGGATTCACTAATGATCTACGGATCCACCGCAAAGCTAAAAAACACTCGAGATGAGACAGGAAATCCGTGAAACGTAACTGGAATCGACAAAAAGGGAGGCGAAAAGACAAAAGCTCCATTATGAAAAGTCACCATAAATTTAAGAAATTTTATATTTCCGTAAATTTCCATAAAAAAAAAAGGGGGGGGATTCACTAATGATCTACGGATCCACCGCAAAGCTTAAAAATTCTCGAAACGACATAGGAAATGGGTGTACGTATCTGGAATCGATAAAATCGATCGGTAAGCGCGGGAGACGAAAAGATAAAGCTTCATTACCAAAAATGTATATATAAATGTAAAAATTGTTTAATTTCCATATGTTGACAAAAAGGGACGAAATAAACTCTGAAAGTCAAATGTTGGGAAGAAACTTACCGTGTTGTGATTGAAGCGCAAACTGCCCGATCGACGAAGTGTACCTCCTCGGATGTTCGCAGCTGCAAGCTCCACGTGTGTTCCATCACTGCCGCCACGTCGTGACAACTCCGACAATTCTGCCACCGGCTGCACCTGCAAGGACATTTGCATGTCGATTAGTTAAGCGCTCCCAAGTTAACTAGTTATTTATGCATGCATTTGAATCATTATACATTTATACGTGAATTTTTCAAACATTCAGTTGAAATTACTGCCCCATCCAGGTGCAGCGAGAACAATTTCTTATACATAAATACAAATACACAAATGCAAGGAAGACATTTTTCCCTGAATTTAAAATTGTTAATTTATCCTGGACAAGGACGAAGAAAATTATTTTCTTTTTTTTTTTTTTTCGTTGACATGAAATTTCGCGAGTTTCAAGACCTTCATTAGGACCACTATAATCACGTGTGTAAGTTTCATAAATATTTTCACATTTTTGTATATACAGAACCCTTCATATCACCTTAATCGGATTACACATTCAAGGGCTGAAACTTGCCATCTCGGAGCATAGTGAAAATTCAAGATGCCGGAATGTTAGTCACTAAAAAGAGTCGGTCTTGTACGACTTTATAATTGAGAAAAGCATCAATTGAGTCTGGCGACAAGTAGCAGACTGCACGCCGGCAGGAGCTCGAAAAGGACAGTCTCTGGAGGAGTTTGGAGAGTGCATTGTGGAGTACGTCGCCATTGTGACGCTCCCGGGAGGGTCTAGGGGTCTAGGGATGTAGGTAGGGCTTCGTAAGAAGAACAATTAACTATGGCGGAATGCTCTCATTGTTCGTAGGAGCAACAATGCCGGGGGCCCGGGCTGACTGGCAGATGTACGCGGGCAAGTACGCGTGCAAGTACACCGAGGTGCATTATGCACCGAAAGTACAGGTCGCGACACCGAGGCCCGTAAATCCTGGAAGCCTTTATTGCCGACTTCGGTAAATCAAGAGCAATAAGAAAACGGCTAAGTGCAACCCGTGGCCGATCCTCCGGGTCGCTTTTTGCAACTGCCCACCTGTGGAAATCGTGCTTAGACCGCGATAAATTACCGCGGTATGAGTTACGCCGCCAATTTGATAATTCCACCTCGTCGATGTATGTTGGTTTCTGGAGTAGGTAATAATGGCCGTTAAGATCGAAGCCGAATGAAAGGAATAAAACCGCCGGACTAGGTACTCCACGTGGCCGACTTGTCCATAAATTTAAGGGAGATCTATTAAATCGCCAGATTATGATCAGTTATTTTCATCTAATAGAAATCACGTCCGCGCTGTATATAAAATATTGATAAATCGCAGTGCTCATTGCAAACTTTTTTCTTACGGCATTACCGTATATTAGGTTGGTCCGAAAATAGTTACGATTTTTATACGTGGTCGATACTTAAAAGTCGCAATTATTTTTGTACCCACCCAATGTATTTAAGTCGACAGGGTTAATATTTTAGTTACTTATTTATTTTTGTTTTTTTTTCATTTAACGACGAATAGTTACGATTTTTATACGTGGTCGATACTTAAAAGTCGCAATTATTTTTGTACCCACCCAATGTATTTAAGTCGACAGGGTTAATATTTTAGTTACTTATTTATTTTTGTTTTTTTTTCATTTAACGACGAAGTTCGAAAAGGTCCGATAATCATTAATGTCGCCGAGTGTACGTAGCTCGGTCGCTGCGCCGAGATACGCGATTACATGCATCCATAAGAAGCAGGTGCATCGGCAAAACATAAACACGGAAGTCTGGATAAAGGTGAGGAGAGAAAGTACATGGCCCGGTACATAAGTATGCACATAAGTGGGCATGTATAGAGACGGTGCTGCCCACTCGGAGGAAGAACCAATCAGCTCCCCGGACAGGGAGGTATAGGGTGCACTTCCATTAATGCTTTTGAACGAGCCACTAACCTCGTCGGACGTCGAGGAGATCGTTTCGCCTGTCACGGCTGTCAATGACAAGCGATCAACCCGGGGTTCAAAAGCACCTTCCAGATCTCGATAACCTAACCTCAACGTCGCGCCAAACCGCACGACTTCGCCGGGACGTAACCCTCGACAGCGAAAGACAAATTTTTTTAGAGAAATTATTTTCATCCCCGTTGGATAATTTTCCTTAACCCCGATTGTCAATGCTAAAGGGCAAATTAGAGACCCACAAGCACCTTACAGATGTTGATAACCTAACCTCTACGTCATCCAAAACCAAACGACTTCACCATAAAAAAAGAACTACCCTCTCTAAAAAAAAACACACGCACTTTCTTTCTTATATTCAATTGCATAGAGAAAAACTCCTTTCTCAAATTCAATTTTTCTCAGGATAATAAATCCTTTTCGAGTAGAGAGTGCTCTCGACGTTTTCACGCCTCGCAGAGTGACCTTGCAAATCTCAATATCCTAACCTCAAGGTCTCGCTAAACTACGTAAATTCACCGTAAAAAAATTACCCTCTCGAGAAATAAAGAAAATTGGAATCTTCTTTCTTATATTCAATTCCATGGAGAAAAACTCCCTTTTTAAATTAAATTTTCCTCAGGAAAATAAATTCTTTTCGAATCGAGTCGCCGTCAAGCGTCGTTTTCACACCCCGAGGAGTCGCGCGGTGTCCTTTTACGACCCTAGACCGTGCGATAAAAAGCCCTCGTAAAAAGAAGGGGGTAGCAGACAAACTTCTCGAAACTCCCGTAATGGAAGTCAGGCGAAGTGCACGTGAGTCATTCGCACGGGCAGGTTCGCCGAAAGTCAAAGGAAAGGCCGCCTCGGCAACCCTTTGTTCTTTGACACGAGCTCGCGTCCTGTCAGCGAGGCTTTAAATGAGTCACTTGTGCCGGTGGCAGCGATGCGATCATGAGGGGAGTTGGGCGATTACTCGGAAAAGCATCGGAAGCATATTGACTTCTGAAAACAAATCGGCAGGACTTTTCCTTTCGCGTCTACTCGTGGCTCATTCCCACCAATTGTTAACGCGTCGACCAACAAGACGCAGACAACGTGGGTTTGACTGTCAGTCATAATTTATCATCGGTCACGGATGACCGGCGTGGTATATACTTCTAAATGACCATTGACCTGGCACGTTTCGAGCCCACTAAGTACACTGACCGCTGCATACTTCTCTTCAGACTATCCAAACCTAATTACGTTCATACCTGTTCGCCAAACAAATCACAAATCCTAAGAATGAAAATCATGTAAATCAGAGCGTACACTAATAAATATCGGTAAGAATTGACATATATTTATATGCACCTCATAACTGAAGTTTCACATAGACAAATGTAAAGTGAGAAAATTACAAGTTAGAAAATGTATTAATGCACGTAACATCGTGTATATACCGTGTTAGTGGGTTTTCACTTGAATTGAATGTAATATTACATTTATAGTATAAGTACTACATATAGCATAATTACTACAATTATAGTATAATTTTCTTTGACTTAACTTAGGTGCTAATTGTGATATTACAGAGACGATGCAATTTTACTGCAATTTATTGTGGCATCGTAATAACCAATAATTGAGTATGTAAATTTGTGATTTAATTTTGGCTTAAAAATACTTGCAATTGTCGAGATCTGTCGCGATCTCCTACCAGTATGTAATTGTGCTGAGCGATATAAGTGGTTATATGAAATGTACAAATTTGATTTTTAGGCATTGCAGTTTTTTTTTTTTTTTTTTTACGGGTAGTATATTAATATGTAGAAAATTCTATTTTCTTTCTGGGTATTTCTCGAGGGCGTAAAATATGCATCGCGTATCGCGAGTCGGGAAGTGCAGATATAAGTGAGAATTTCTGAACCACACGATTCCGGTTACGTGACTCGTGCGATACGTCGGTTTATGAAATGATTATTATGCAATTTAATGAGCCGACGTTCACATCCTGCTTCCTGCGAGCGACAATATGCGCGGGCATGAAGCGACAAGGAAACGCCTTGAAGGGAAAGTCCTCTGCATTGATAATTTACCAAGTCTTTCCAGACTCCAGTTTCTTCATAAATTGAAATTAACGCCTAATAACGAGTCTCACGGTATTAACGAAGTAATAACTTCCGCAACATCTGCAGCTCGAAATTGGCAGCATCGCAGGTCGCAGGTCGCCACCGTTCCGTATCGGACTTTGTTGTTAATTAATTAATGAATTAATAATACGCCTCGAAGCAAACCGCAAGTATCATGGAAGCAACGGTTACGGTACCGCAACCTCGTCATACGGTCGGTTAATAAAATTGCGAGACCAGACCCGGCGAGTGGTGAATGAACATTTCCAACATGGCGGATCGCCGAGCCGTGACGAATCGATCGTCCAGGGTGACGAATCGCGTCGGAGCCCTTGCGAACTCGATTCCAGTCCACAACCGTCGAGGGGATAAATAAACCGTTTAATATATCTGCTCGATTCGAAACGAATCGGTACTCTTTGCCTCGCTTTAAGATGGGAAACAACGACGCGAGAGGGGCGGCCAAGAACCCCTCGATAGTCGCGTCCTCGGACTTCGGAAGCGATTGTTTATTAATTCGCTCCTTTGTTAAGAAAAAGAGGTGGAAGAAAACCGCGTCCACTCGATAAGCCTGGCCGCGTTCCGTGTTATTCCTCCGATTTGAATAAAAAGGAACGGCGTCTCCGCGAGATTTCTTCGCCGCGCGTTCTCCAAGATGGCCGCCGTAATGGCATCGGGGTCGTTCTTTGCCGGAAGGGCGCGCCCATTCGAAGATCGGAAGTGCCTATCTCGGATTTATGGCCGGAAACGCTGCTCCGTGACTTTGCGAGTATACATTGACATGTCGTGTGTATTGCCAGTGTCGGGTGCATCGTGCATGTCGCGTGTATGACCCGATTAAGGAGTCCTTGTCCCCTCCTCGGCGCGGATTCAACGGTATACAAGAGAGCCAATGAACGCGCGGAATGGCACAGCCGGCACGCGCGCCGTCCGTAATGCACGCGACGCGTCCTCCCATCTACCGATAACGTCTTATCTCGGCCGGCTGTACACTCGGTCTTCCACATATAGCTTATAGAAATGGAAGAGTCGTGTAAGCGCAGAGGAGTCCATAAGAGGTTAAACAGAGACGTATCTTCCGTCTCT